AGATTGTCGCGCTTTTTAACTGTAACAAATCAGTAAAATATAATTATAATCCGCACTGAAGCATGCAAATGAGGACAGACGAATGAGCAATCCGATTGTTCTTCATGATATGCATCAACTTGTTGGTTAGTTTTGCATGGTGCTATCTTATTCCCACAACCCTTCTTCTAACATGTCGTCGCGCTGTCGCTCCATCGATGCACACTGCATTCTGTCCACTCGTATAGTTTTCGAAACTGCAATTTCTTCCATTACGCGACACGTCAACCCTATCACTTTTTGCTGTCATAAACCATTGTTCCGTTGGGTGTTGCTCGCCCGAACACGGTGCACTTCTTTGACGTGTTTCGAGGTTATTTCCTCTCATTAGATACAGCTACAGGTATTGAACCTGTGACCATTGGGATTCCAGTCGTGACCAGTACCCCTAAGCCACCGGGTCACGACTGGCAGCGCTTGGGACAACGGTTAATGATGGATTTTGAGTGTTATTTTTGAAGTACACTATGTGTGGATGGATTGCGACACGCAATCAATGTTGACCGCGATTCCCATTAAAGTGAAGCTTGGTCCTTCGATCACCAGGACCGTAGCTGAAGCAGACAGAAATTGGGTGTTGCTCGCCCGAAAACACTGTATTCCTTTGACGCGTTTCGAGGTTATTTTCTCTCAACAGATAGAGATAGCAAGCATCGAACACGGGACCATCGGGCTGTTTATTGTGACCGCTACCCCTAAGCTAACAGTACACAATGGTCCTGGTGATCGAAAGACCAAGGTTCACTTCAATGGGAACCGCAGGTAACATTGAGATTGCGTGGCACAATCCATCCACACAAGGTGTACTTCAAAAATGGCCCTCAAAATCCATTGTTCCATTGTTTTATCGTACTAGCTATACTTGGCCGGGGCAGTAACATCAGACAGCTGATACCTACAAATGTCGTTTGGAAAGGGATGGTATTACATCAGTAGTACTTCTGGTTTTTTCTTTGGTGAAAGAGAGAATTAAAGCAGCAATACTCCTCAGATTTGCGGCACAGGTAATCCAGGTTGCAGTCGGACTAATGGTTGTAGTTGCGCTTGTAGTGAACGTGAAACTTCTATGGTTTCAGTATTTTGTGACAGTGGATTTTATTCTTGTTTGTATCTACCGATCGTCCATTTGTTTTACTGACGGCGCGTCTGGTTCACTTTCGTTTCCTGTGTGTTCTGCGGTTCATCGCTTCGTGCTTCGCTCATTGACTTTCAGTTCTTTGTAGCTCGTACAATACACGTTGGGTTCGGCAACGTTTCACTTCTGTATACTCGGTATCCGTGGTTGGTCTTACTCGTAATTGTCGCTACCGGTAACTGCGTTCGGCTCTACAGGTTAGAAGAAAAGTGGGGTTCGACTAATTCTGGCTGTTTGTGTACTGCACCAGTATGGCCCTTGATTTCTCCGGCGTGGCAGTTTGCGAAAAAACTTCCCCGAACCGTTAAAAGCTGAAAGTTAAAACAGTGCTAATTTTGAGCGGATATCACTTTGAAGTGTTAACTTTCTGAATGGATCGTGATGCGCAATTGCAATCTTGGTTGCGATTTTTGCCGATGTGAACCGCGGTTAGTTAGGTCGCTGAGAGGGTACCAGAAAGCTAAATGTTACTTGCTTCTGGTAAACAAAACTGCAACCCAAGAACGCTACTTACTAGTATTCCCTCGTCAGGTGGAGAGAGCAACCCTGCGGCTCAAACCCAAAACTTAGAAGGTACCGGCCGAAACCTTGGCTACAACACTGAGTCGCGGATAACGTTCGTCACGACGGTTACAGAGGTGCACAGAAAAGTACGAAACCTTTCATGAATGCAACCTTGCGAGCGACATTGCTTAGTATTTTATATGGATAATATTTCTCCAGTGGATCTCATTTGACATTGTGAGTAATAGCGTTTGGGTATAGGTAGAAATTCGTCATATACAGACTCACTCAGACAGCCACCACACGCTTGTTTCATCCTTTCGGGTATCGTCAGCAGTGCGCATTTTATCTGACCCTGGTAGGGCTCAAACCCGCAATTCGACTGTTGCCAGTTCGTTGTTGAAACCACTGAGTTACAGGGACGGCAACGACCATGTTGAATAAGTTACTAGATGTGATATAGCACCGCTCACTATCTACTGACTTGTACGTTACTGCCGTGCAGAGGACATGGTAGCCTCCTCACAAAGCGACGAATTTACCAAACGTAATCCACCAATTAACTTATGACATTATAAGCAGTTTGGTCTGCGTACTGCTTTTCCGGGAATGTGATGGCTGTCTGAGTGAGTCTAGATGTGACGAATTTCTACACATACCATTCAACTCCCCCTACTACTCCGCTGTAATAGCGTTTTAGAAACAAGATATCGGAAAGCTGACCTGTGCAAAAATCCGGTCAATGAATGTATAAGTATGCGCGCAATGACCGAGTCAGCTGACGACTAACAGCTTCTGATTCTCTTCGTTAGAGGCAGGAAATTTTCTGCTTCTAGGTACGATTAGTTTTACTTGCGTTTAATCCAAGCAAGTATGCTATTCAAATGATCTTACACGGTCGACCGAACCATGTTAAACGTGGAAGCCCTTTAGAAGTCTATGTATAAACGGTCATTGATGCATAGCAAACGTTCTGTTCACAAGTAATCTTATGGATCAATAGGCCGGACAGCTTATCCACTGAGGGACATTTTTGAGCAGTGGAAGCGCGAAATCGATGATTCTGTAAAAGCGTTTCTTCATATGATTTGTCGGAAGTCATTCCTAGGAATGATTCTGTCGTTACTAGTGCCGTTCGTTGTTTTATCAATCATTAAGAATACCATTGATCAGGAAGTCACTTCATTGCATTCAGCTCTTTCAAACCACTACGATCCGGACACTCGAATCGATGTGGAGTTACCGCGCCATGCGCAACCAAGATGACAACAATCAGCACCTTCAAATAAAATGGGGCGAAAGGCACGCAGTGCCGACGATTCGCTGCCGTGCAATCACTAACAGTGCAGCCTGGCCTCGGATACTACGAGGGTCGCTCCGTCCCCTACTGAAGCTAGGACCCGCGCCATCGGATTACAAGGCAGACCTATGAGGCTTTGGGCTACCGGTTGGCGCAAGATGCAAGTGGAGCACAGTTAAAAAGAAGCTCGAAAGGCGAGAGTAAAAATGATCGGAATGGACCGTCAACAGTTAAATGAAGGAAATTAACAGGAACAACCCAACCGAGGTCACAATTGCGCCTTGGCAAGTAGGGTTACAATCACTTAGTCTTTTGTGTTGTTCTGCCATACCATCGGCTGGCCAACGTACGATGCCATCGAGCTATTTGCCGCGATAACACATTATACTAGACGAAGAAGAGAGTCAGTTGGCACACAAAGGAGAGGACCTAGCCAAAGTAAGTGGTTTAGACATAGTGGACGACCCAAACACTGATTGACATATATTTGCATGGTAGGGATGCAGCGATGCAACGTATTGGTGCACCACTATTATGTCTATACCAACTACTCATTTAAAGCTACTGAGGAATCTTCACTCACGTCATCAGTAAGAAACGAAAGATTTTGTTCTTAGGAGCGTAGGGTAACTTATGCACCTCTAGGATACTACAAAGAGACCTGAGGGTCAAACAATTAATTAGGAAGACAGAGTGTCAAGCCTCCTAGTTTTCGCAAAATGAGGGCATCGTTAGGCCTTGAAAAAAGAAGTTGTTAGATTTAACTACTTCTGTATAGGCATAAGTTGCTTCACAGCCATCGTAACCATCACGGAACTAGTTTTGATAGGTTGGCAGGGAAACGTCGCTACGAAGCATCGGCGTAGTGCTGGTTTCTTTCCTTCGATTGGGAAATTTGATGAAACACGGTTAAATGCGTGACAGAATATCGTGTAATGGACTCAGCGGAGCTAGAATTGTGTTGAGGAAGAAGGCGCCGCAATTCCGAGTTCCGTGATTCATTAATACTCTAATTGATGATGTACCGTTGGTATAACCTGATTGGCTGTTTTGAATAATATCTGCATGGCATTATCATCCTTTTCACATACACAGTGGCGCATTGTTGTGCACATGATGCAATAGATCACTAGTTCAGGTGTCATTTACGTACTTCATGCAGAGCGATTTTCTATTTCGCAAGACTTTTATTATGACCCAGTTGCAGACAAAGTTTTGATAAAAGAAAGTGTCGCTAGGGGAGCATTTTTCCTTCAGTTTAACAAATAGATTGTCAGATACGCCAACTGATTCTGCCCAATTAACGCCGGAACAGTTACTACGTGTTATCGGCTAGTTAGGTATACCATGGAGTAGACGCTTTCAGCAACTATTGTTGTTCCCTACTATTTATAACCCACATCTGGATGTATGTAATACTGGTCATATTCGTACGATTCCTGATTTCTGACTAGGAATCCAATTTCATGAAGAGCGCTAATCATGTACCAAACAAATCATTCAATGTAGTTTACTTAATTTAGTACAGTCTGCGTTTCTGGTACATGATTACTCTTACGCAGCAGCGAAAGGATAAGGCATGTTGCCGGGATGAAAAAAACATACACAAATTTATAGGTAGTACTGTGCCTGTTTGCCAGTTCTGATTTTGATTGTCTTGATCCAACTACGCTGAACACTAAAACCGCCGGTAAACAAACTACTGCTGCTGTCTGTTGTCAGATCAGAGGTCAGTGAAATTATATGCATGCTTTATCGCTTGTCACAAAACTACATTACACTGCTACTGAACACATTCTAGCACAGTTATTAAAACTCTAAAGTGTTTGCTGCCATCAGCAGAATGTCACTACTTCGTGAATTAGATGCATCTTGTTTGCTAGCGAGCGGAACTTGTATATACTCTATATAATATTAAACTATATGAAACATAGTAAAGCAGTAGGTCAGGCTGACGGGGGCCTGTACACCAAAACCTAGGCAAGAATAATTAGACCAATGGGCACAACTGGCCGAACTCACTTGATGGTGGCTGTACAGTACACCAGTGTCACTTCCCTAAGAGCATACGAACAAGTTTGAGTATACCGTTGCAATGGATCTCACATAATCGTCGCGTTTGTATGTGGATTAGGGCTTCTTGGGTCTGCAATTTGATGCCAAGAATAAAGAATCCAGTACACATGATATCAGCAGCAATTATTGTAAGAAATGAAGACATACAATTGCTCTAATAAAATCTTCTGAGAAATGCTTGGGCACTCTAAACTAGCACACCTACATAAATTATGTATGATACCAAGATAACTACGATGTCCATATCCGTACAGATGGACAACTACCATCGCATTTGGGCCTATTTTCGGTCGCTCGCATAGAGGGAATGAAAATGAAAATGAAATGGACGCAGTAAATCTAAAGCCAATGTTAAATATTACAATGCATCGTTGACGCTGGACGTTTTTACCTCTGAGCAGTTCTTTTTAAATAAAGTCGTAAGATTAGTCAGCGCGAATGACTGATAGATTGCCGCTGAGTGACAAGTTTGTGTGCATCTGGCCGTCCGACTGAGGCAAATGTAGGATGACTTTGGGTCTTCAGTACTGTGTTTTGACGAGATGGAAATCGATTCCCCAAAGTACATGGACGATGTGCGTGACTATAATAAATGCATTCACGGTATAGGTTTAGGCTGTATCGGAAAGATGTTTTGAGTCACCGAAATTTGTCCCAGGTGTATCTCACCGAGACGGCCAGCGGCATAAAAATAGGCCACGCAGGGCGCTTAATCGTGTTATACAGGGTACAAAGAAAGGGAAATAGTTTTGGACCTTAATAACCACTCAGAAGCGCGGGAAAAACTCGCGTAAGTTTACGTCATCTTAGCACTTAGAGCTTAGCAACGTGTAGATATTTCGTGAGGTCATTTTATGCGAGTACCATCGCTAGTAGGACTCGTGCTTACAACTGAGGAACCCATGGCCGACAGGCTAGTTATAGACACCCACTAAGGCTATCATATCATCATACTCTTTAACTATGTGTGCTACGCGGAATACCCGAAAGAACACGCTGAACTAACACGCACAACATTCTGAACGATCTGGTTGGGACGACTGATTGGGAATTAGTGAAAGATCGCTCCCCTGGCAGCGCTTGGGATCATCTTGTTGGACGTTGCCGCAACCTGATCGTAATTGCTTCAGAAACTAAAACGGTTCGTTTCACCAATTCATCCGCGTTCATCAGAAGTAGAACTCGCAATTGTATGCCATTAAGGAACGCAGCTTGGCACACTTACAGAGCACGTTCTGGTCTCGAAACCTGGAGCGACTACGCGATCCAGCGCAAACATGGTAACATGCTTGTCCGTAAGGACAAACTGACTCACTGACAACATTCGGCTTGTAAATTTGCCAATGACGACAACTTCTATATAAGCCTGTTACTACCTTTCGGAAAGGGAAGCTTGGTAACACGACAGTTGGAGTGACAGTGTGCTGAAGAAGCAGCCAACTCCCTACGGATGCAGTATGCCTCGACCTCTCAAGGAGACGTCCGACATTGTTACTTAGCTACATCCGTAGCCCCAATTTCAGCACTCAGTAACATCGTTTTTACAGCAACATCGGTGTCGAAGTAACTGCTCTGAATGCGTACTGACAGTTTCTTCGGAATCGATGACATTCACCCCAAAGCATTGAACGTAGCAGCAACAACACTAGCCGAGCCATTGTCGCATTTCTCCCAAAAGAGCTTGGATGGGAAAACTCTGCCTATCATGTAGAGACATGGTCTAATGGCGCAAATTTTCATGGATGGCAATCGCTCGCAACTCGCATACTATCGTCCAGTGGTCCTCTTCCCTGTACTCTAAAAGATGACGAAGGCAATTCTCGCTGAGGCTTCAGTCGAGCATCTCGATGTTACGGCACCATAGCACCCGAGCAACACGGGTTCCACTAACACCGTTCATACAATACTAACCTTCTGATTTCAAGCAGTAGTTGGACGAATGCGGCTGACAAAGGTAGGGGTACCGAGGTCATTTACCTCGACTTCTCCAAAGCTTTCGACCGATTGGATCGCCGCATTCGTCTTCCCAGGCTCAGAAGCTATGGAGTAGGGGATCTTCTGCCCTTGGGTGAATATTGAATTTCCTGCAGAATCGGCAGCTGCAGGTTAGAGTTCGGAGCGCGTTGTCCGATCCGATTCATGTCGAATGTGGGGTCCCATAGGGATCAGATCTGAGGCCGCTTCTGTTTCTCGTGTTCATTAACGAGCTTAATCGTTTGGTCGCCTCGGATTTCTTGGCGTTCGTTGCTGAAAGTAAGCTGTTGCGGGTGATCACCAGCCAAGGGTGTCACGATGCACATCAGCGAGACCTGCACTCCGAAACCTGCTCCAGTTCAATTCGGAGAAGTGTAAAGTGGTCCACATTCGTCACCAGCGGAACATTCTATAGCCTGCAAGCAGTCATCCAGCAGCGGGATCTTGGTGTATTCGTCCAGGCTGCTCAAAACAATCTAAAAAGGCGTCTAAAACTGGAAACCAACACCTTGGCATGCTGCAGAGGACACTCGCGCGGTTTGATCCGTCTGTCTGTTTTCAGTTGCTCAATACATACGTGCGGCTTCATGTGGAATACACAATCCAGGCCTGACAGCCCTGGCACAAGTAAGATCTCTCAGCGCCCGATACTCCACAGAGAAGAGCCATACAGCACGTTAAAGGGTTGTTCCATTCCTTATCTCAACTTAGGCTGTAGACTCAAAGGTTGTACGGCGGCTGGTATTGGCGCCTACGTTGGAATTTGGAGGAACCCCAACCACCTCTGCCACCACCTATTGAAACTCAGCCACAAGACGAATTTAAGGAGCTATCATCTCAAGTTAGCCACGCGATACAGTTGACTAGAATGTCGGCGAAACCTTTACTCTCTTCCTGTGTGCTAGCCAAGGAACGCCCTCCACAATTACGTTATTTTACCCCTACTTTATACTTGTTTAAAATACGCCTTGACGTTACCCTAACCCACCTACACTACGAGATATAGCCTGTGTGTCTCGACAGGCGATATAATGCGACGAACGTTGCACAACCAGAATTAACTTAAACAACTGTGGTTGGCTCTTTCTGCGTACCTCTGTGTTAACACTGTGGTGAGTCCGCCAAAACACTTTTCATTCTATCACATTGCTTTTCTTTCAAAAGATTGTGGATCGCATTCTGACCACGCTAAGTTACTTGTCAAGCATTTACTTTTTATCTGTAATACACTATTGTTCCAGTCCGCTTTAGGCACGATAGGCAGGCTCTTCCAAAGTAATTTGTTTGTAATGTAATCAGAGTAGCTAAGTCGTCTGCACATGGTTTTTGAATGGTTGAGCACACGTTCGCACCGTCTTCGACCTAGAACTGCGCTCACCTGGCTCCATTGCTGCTGATTCGAATACAACGTGGCCGTTCCCAATCACCTTGTATCATAGGCTAACGCGGTAAGCAATCTTGCGCCTGTCTAATGATTTTGTACATTTGGAAAGTTCTTAACTTCTACTTGGGCTTTAGACTTTACTCCGACTCGTTACGTCCGTGCAAGAGTGAAGCACTCAACTATATTGGTCACCGGTGGAACAGACGCGGAGGTTTGTCACATCAATCGGATCACTGGTTTCGCATATAAAACATATCAGTGGAGCAAATGCCACTTTATGTTGATTAATAGATATATCATACTGTTCCAGGAACTTCTTAAACTACTGCGATTGCACTGCGAACGGGACAAGTTTGCTCAAAAGAAAATACCGTAAAACTCCATGTGGCGCTGGCTTCAACCGATTTTTCAGTTTTTACTGACGAAACCTATCTTTGATTTGCGCTGCCCCGTTGCAACTGTCTACTTACGCATGGATAGAATCTCTTGGGCAATAATGAAGCGACTTAGATGAAAGCACTTACGGGTATATAAATTAAAAAATGTCGACGCAATTTAAACGACTGTCTTTGGTAATAAAATCAGAGGTACTAAGACTAAATATTTTGTAAATTAAAACCGTGTTAGGTCATCACGATGCTCGCGACCTTGAAAGATTTTAAAACTGCTGTGTAGCAAAAGCTCTCTGGAGTGTCTTGATAATGTGGATGTGGACAGACTAAATGCCAAACTTTGTTCTTTCCCACAAGATGTGTGTTCCCTGTCCTCCTTGCGCAACATTGGTCCCGCAGTCACCCTTGATCACGTGGATGTTTACGTGGAACACAAAAATTGTAGATTACCTGATGCATTTTCGCCACTGTTTCTGAGAGTGCTCAGATTATCTCGCGGTACCCTTAATCGCCCTATCCAACCGCTATCTTATGGGTAGCACAAGGCCTGACGTATGAAGATCTGTACAGATAGCACCTGTGCTTGAGAAGGAGTCTCAAAATTATCGTCTGATTCACGTACGTCGAGGATGTTGAAACTGTTCGACAAACTACTTGTACCTCATCCTCACACGCACCCAGACGGACCATGTATACCAATTTGCTTATAAACCCAACCGCTTCACACTAGATGCTATATCGTGCCTTGTACATTCCGTATCATCTGCAGTGGATGGTAAATGAAAAGTATTGCACCTGCTGTTTCTTGATTATTCGGATAATTTTAGAATCATCAACAGATCAACGCTGCTCAACCAACTGCTCACGAGTGAGGCTCATACAAATGTCTGCAGTGTGATTACAGACTAGCTTAGAAACCGCACCCATTTCACCTTAGCTTAACGGAAAAAGATACTTTACCCTTCACTCTAAGCATGGTGTTTTACAAAAAACCATTCTCCCTCTCCTACTGTTTTCTTTATATGTCGAAAACCTCATAACGTCCAAATGTATTAGATACAAGTATGCCGATGATGTTGTTTTGGTATGTGTAGTTCCAACCGTTGAAGTATCTACTTTCCAGTGTGGCTTAGATGGGCTTGTGTTGTGATCATCGTCCCGGTCTCCTATCCTAAACATTTCTAGGTGCCATGGTGTAACACGCACTTTTCTTTAGGCTGATAAGCTACAAG